ATTGGTCCATAAATATACTCAAAGGTGAATTATTTGATGAAGTTTTGTGTATAAAAAAATATGTCACAAACAAAAAGATTGACAAATGGTGGCAGAATAACAAGCCCTGCCATCAAAGATGGATTGACAGTTTTGAACATTTTACAGCAAAAGAAATTGCTTTCAAAAACATTTATAAAATCGTAGAATTTTCTTTATGTCTCCCTGGATCTAATGCCCCTGTTAAACAAATATTTTCATTGGTGAATAATATGTGGACGAATGAAAAAACCCATTTAAAAGTAAGCACATTAGAAGCATGTATTTCCATCAAATACAACTTTCAAATGAACTGTATGGAATTTTATGACTTTAAAGCGTAAAACGGCACTATTAAAAAAATTAATTCTACTGAAAAGTTTCAAATTTAATGTTATTTAAATTTTTACAATGTGTGTATATGTGTAATAATTCAAATTGTTTAAAATTTTATGTTACAAATGTATGCATTGTTGTATGCTACTATTTTCATAATAAATGTTATAAACTTATGAATACTTTATAAGGTATTTTTTTATTTTCTTCGATATGTCCTTTATTTTCCCCAAAAAAATATGGTCACCATAAGTATAGGGAAAAACTTCAAGAATATAAAAGGATCTAGCCTGCAACAGAAATACAAAAGTAGAAGATGAATTAACTCTTAAATATTTTGATCTCCATCAATTAGGATAATTTAAAAATTCTGAACAGAAAAAAAAATCATTTTCCTTCAAGAATAGCAAAATAATATATAAATAGAATAAATTAAATATGCAAAATATTAAAAAGTATTTCCATAACATTTTATGTTAAAATATTACATGATGGGTTAATTTTTAAAGTTTTAAAATATTTTGATTCTGTTATAATATGAGACAATAAAAAAATTTTTAACAGCAAGTTTTTAAATTGATGTTTAACAACTTTTTTTTTTTTTTATATATAAAGTACACAAGCTATATGCATATATGTACTGGTAAAATTAATCTTGCATATATTGGTAATTAAAAAACAATTTTGTGCTTGAATATTGTACTTTTTAATTTTTGGTTCGTTATTTATGGTACTGATGATGCAGCTCATTCTAAAAATGTTTAAATTATTTAGTAAGTTAGATGTCTCATCAAACAGAACAATGTATTAAAAACTTTTTAATACAAGAAGCCATTAAGATGGAATTTAGAATTCAAAACTATAAATACACACTTGATGCCAAAACTTGTACAACCAATAAAAGAAACACTATCTTTCAATGTTATGTACTATAATAATATCATAAAAAGGCATGCTAGTGCTTTCAACATTGAATCAATTTCATATTTAGGAAAAGTAGAATTTGTATGAAACATAGATATAATTTTTTTAAAATATACATTGACATATTCTAAAAAAGAATACATAGTTGAATGTAAAGAAAATGGAAAAAATGGAAAACTCCAAAATCATCTAGTAAAGGAACAAGGTGGCATTTTAAACAACAGAAGCTTAACAAAGCTCTCTAGCAATGTGTTAGAATATGGCCTCACTTGATGCCAAAACTTGGATACCTTTGTGGATAGAGACATAATTTCTCAAACAATGTATAGACCAGGGATGGCAAACCTTTTTCAGTTCATGTGCCATATAATAAGTGTACTTATCTTTAAAAATGTTTATCTGTGCCAAAGTTCTAGACTTTGGATAACTATATTTAAATAAATAAAATGAATCTGCTTTAATTAGAGTAAATGTAAAGAATCTGATTAAAAAACAGGATGATCAGGTGATAAACTGAAAGGATGATTGATAAAAACAGGTAATAAGCATTACGTGCCAGATGATTTCCTGACATGCCACTTTGGGCATGTGTGCCAAAGGTTTGCCATCAGATATAAACTGCAAAACTATTTTTATCCAGGAGGCTTTATACATATCTAAGTTAGGACAATGCAATAAAAAAGCTTGAATTGAACAACCAAAGCTGTGGATTTTGCTCTTTAAAACCTTGAACATTTAATTCATTGTCTTTCTGTCTTTCATGAGTTCTAAAATATCATCATTTTTATGTTTAAAATTCGTCCACATCATTAAGTTTTTGTTTTGTTTTGTTTTTTTTTTTGATTTTTTTCATTTTATTTATGTTTAACATATTCCAAAAAAGAACACATATTTGATGTATTTTTAAAAAATTGATATCTATGTTCCATACAAATTCTTCTTCACCTGAAGATGACATTGATACAATATCAAAAGTACTAGCATGGCTGTTTTTATAAAATTATTAAAGTACATAATACCAAAAGACAGCATTTCTTTTATTGGTTGTAAAATGTGGAATTTTTCAAGATTAAAACCAGTTTGAAACAAATATCACCTATATAATATGACAGCTGATCAGAAAAATTTTACATGAATCATCAACAAACTGACAATATATATTTGAGACCTAACACTCTGTCAAAACACTTTAATAATATTGTAAAATAATTTTTATTAATTTGTTTATCTTTGGAAATTACAAATAGTTTTGGACTTTGAAACAATAACAAAAAGGAAGAAGTATGTACTGTTGAAATTTAAGACAATGGGGGTCTCAAGATCTCTGACTGGGATTGAATTCAGTGTCAAATTAATTGTTAGCATCAAACTTTTCTTGCAATTGAGATAATCTAATTTCACTTAGAAACAGGGCTGTGGAGTCTGAATCATGGAATTTTGGTGTTTTAGTTGGAGTTGGAGTCGTCAAAAATCCGCCAACTCCAACTCCTTTTTACTTCCCAACTTGTTATGTATATAAAACGGAAAAGTACTGGAATCGTGTCAAATTTGACCCCCCCTAGCTTTTTGCAAATCTACACATTTGGAAACCTCCTAAACCCAAAAAAATGTCAAATAAAAGGGGAAACTATTTTGTGTGTGCGTGTGTGTTGGCGTCTAATTTGTTTAATTTCTTTATTCTGTTCTGAGATATTAAATAATATCTCAGAATTGGTAAAGTTTAAGAAGTGAAATTTGGCACAGTAACTTGTGTATAAAGAGGCATTAATGCTGTTAAATTTTGGTTCTTAATTAAAGGTAGACAAGATGGAGACATAGTCATACCTCCAGTGTGGTCAGACTTAATAAATATTTTACTCATTATTAGCATTCACAATTTTTTATAAAACTTGTCTCTACCCTCAAAATTAAGCTTTTTGTTGTTTTATAATATTGATAGGACAGTAGAATCTGTTAAGATGATCTTGCCTGAGAAGTTAGAATGTGTATGGGGGCACAATTAGTTCAACCACTTTAAAGCTTAATAACTCCTGCGTTAAACCATCTGACTCGGATTTAAAAAACCACACAAAAGTTATTAGGCTTCAAACAGGATGAACAAAATCATGTCTCCAACACAGTCTAACATCCATACATACAGGGAAAAAACCGAATCTTTTGCATATCTTGACATTTCAAGGTATCCTGAGTCCAAAACTGTAAAAATTTGGGAGGGGGTATTTATTGACTGATTGTTACACTTTCTCTCTTATGTATAACAGTCGAAAAAGTAAAAATTATTGAATACGTATTTATATATTGACTGTGTCATTACTTAGCGGAGTCTTTTATGGAAACGTTTCTATGTTCTATCTTTATTAGAACTCTATTTATTAAATCTTTTAGTCTCAAGTCATGTGATGACATCAGAATTCCCAGGCCTATTTTGGTAATAAGACTGCCCCTGGTCGGAATCGGAGTAGGAGTAGGAGTAGAAGTCAGCAGATTTTTACACGACTCCACAGCCTTGCTTAGAAACAATTGGAAAATCAATTGAGCCACAAGAGATAATATTCTAGACTAATTGGCATGTTCAATCAAGGAACCAACTCTATAAAACAGTATCTCAAGGATTCAATGTATATAACTATGTACAAAAAGGCTTCTGATAACTTAACACTGCGTTGAGTAATAACAATCCACGAACGTTCGTGAAGTTTGTTACGGAGACAACACTGTTATAAAAAGGTTTCGTGGATTGTTATAACTATGTATCAATGGCATTTGAAGTTTCAATGAGTTAGTTTGATATCTCAAATATTAATATTTTTAAACTTATTTGCTGATTCTCTTAGATAAAATCTTTCAATTAAATTGTAAATGGTAATCAGAAATAACACAAGTAATCAATGCTGCAAGAAATTTAAAAACTAATTTATATTTATTATGCAAAGTCTTTGTTTGATTAAACTTTAAATATCTTTAGGTTTTACAGATAACAACATTAATATATTTATTATTCTTAAAAAATCTGAAAATGCTTGAAATTCTATCAAGATGATGTCAGTATGATAAATATAATTTAAAGATTTTAAGCATCAGTAAATTGGTAATTTGTGCTATTTCTAATTATCAATCAGTTATTATCAGTCAGATGATTATCAAACTGTCAATCATACGATTTTTTACCCTCCAAAGTGCTTAGTTAACAGAATTTTTATAAAGAGAAATTGAACTCCAGAAAGCAGTAATGATTGACCATTGAATTCAAATTCATTTTCTGATATTTTCAAACTTCAAAATTAGCTGTAAATTAAAAGTTTTTTAAATTCTGTTATCAAAGTGTAAAATATTCAAAAGATTTTGAATAGTTTTGAATAAAATATGTTAAAACATTCTAAAATTTATTTTTGAACATGCAAATATAAAATGTATTTACTTACAAAATTGGACTTTTTATGATATTATGTAATAATGTTATAATTTATTGATGATATTGAAATATTTGTATGTAATTACTGAATCTAATAAATTCATAATGCTTCTATTAGATTTTTGAGAAACTTTTGCATATTTCATATACAAATTATATTATAAATTTTTGCTTTCAAACTTCTCTACTTACAGTTATATAACATTACTTATATTTAACTTAGATTTAATTAGCAGATTAATTTTATGTTTTGGTACTCTAAATTTAAACTTCATATATTTAAATTTTATTAATAAATCGTATAACTCACAATAGGAGTATCCTCATTGGGACCACAAAGTCCAACTAATAACCATATACCAAACTGACTTAGTAGCTGTCTTTCTTCTAATGATGTAATACCATCATCATCATCATCATCAATATTATGTTTATCTCCTCCATTTTCTCTGACTAATTTGTTAAGATTTGGTTGTGCTTCTCTTAATAAGCTAATATTAAAAATAAATAAATAATAATAAAATACTTTAAAAAGTGCAAATTTTAATAATAAACACTACTTAAATTAATATAGTAATTTTTACTTTTTAATTGCAAAATTTTTCAGTTATTTATAAAATCTTTTTATCAAAATATACTGTAGCTTCTATTATAGTAAGATAAAAATTTCAAATCAAATAAAATAATGCAAAATGACATAATTAAATTAAATCTATTTACAGTTATCAAGAATCAATTTAATTGAGAAAAGCAACAAATTTTGGCATATTGATCAAATAACACAATTATTTAAAAAAACTTTAAAAAAAAAAATCAAATATTTATTTAGTAGCAAAAATAAAATTATGAATGGCAACAACCATTAGTTAGATAACAAATAATATATATCTTTTGTGACTAATAAAAAATTAATTTTCAAACTCTTCTCTAACTGCACTTTGTAAAAACAAGTAAACCTCGAAAAAACTTTTAAAATGCAGCCATACAAGACAAAAGATGGCAAAAAGAGCTTTACTACATCAGAGCCATAGGGAGGTCATTAAAAGAAAGATTAAAGAACATAAAAGAAACATAAGGAATGAGCAGCCAGTCACTGCCCTAGTGACCTATATTATTAGCAGACCCAAAAGCAGAATGGGAACAAGCAAAAATAATACAAAAGATTCAAGACAAGAGACACCTGAAATATGCAGAGGCATGGCAGATACATAAGACAAACCAAGAAGGATTAGCAATAGACTTCAGAGAGTTGAATAAAGTCTCAGCAGCTTTGAGAGTGGGTATAATATAAATTTATTAGTAGACAAAAGGGACGGTTTAAAGAAATAGGCACAACTGTAGCCTTTTTATGTTTTCAGTTGTTATTTTACATATTTTTTATCTTTTTATTATTTATTCATTTATTTTTTTTTGTTTCTATTTTGTTTGTTTTTATATGTTATTATTGCATATATATTGCAATTTTACATTTATGAGATTGCACACTAGAAAGTTCAAATTTAAAAATATTCCGAAGCATAGTTCATTGTATAAAAAATCAGAATCATTCGATTTTTGTTGTTCTTGAGGAAGGTCATAGAAAATGACTGAAAACGTTCGAAAAGATAATAAAACGGCTGCATTTAAAAAAATTTTTTTGAGGTTTACATTAATTTTCTTCCATCATTTACCCCATGAAAAAGAAAATCTTAATCATTTACATAAGATTTTGTACCTTTTACACTAAACCAAAGATATCTAATTTTAGCTGAGATCAGTGCATTTTTCTTATTAGTAAGTCCTAGAAATTTAGGTAAAAACAATTTTTTCCTATATTATATTCCACAAGTCTAAAGATTCAAAACAATCCACATAGAATCCTTAATTTGGAAGCTATAAAATAATATAAAATGCATATTTTGACAATAACAGCATATTTTTGAAATTTTTTTCTATAATAGCATAAGAAAATTTACATCTAAATCTTACTTTCATTGGGAATAGTTTGTTTGCTAGAAAATTTAGATTTATTGATTGCTGAAATTGCACTATTCTCAATTTCTCATGGATATAAAACTAATCCCCATTGAGTTGACTTCAATAAGAATGGAAAGATTTTATACATAATATTCACAAATTCTTAGCTCCTAACATGCCAATTATATCATTGATTACACAGGCTAATGATTACACCTGAAGAGCAGCAATTGAACCAACAATGTATTCTTCCTCTAAAATTAGAACAAGAGAGTGATACTTCAGTACATTTTTTGGACATATCTATCACCTTCAATGATGGCAGAATCCACACTAATATTTACCATAGGCCCACATACCAACCTGTTTTCATCCCAAACAACTCCTACGATCCACTATCTGTAAAACTCTCGGCATTCAGGTCCTTAATGCAATGAGCCTACATCCATTGCTCTAATATTGTTGACACATACTTTGAACTGAATTATATTAAAAGAATTGTCAAACAACATGGATTTCCTACAAATATGATACGTAATTTAATTAGCACCTTTAAAAACACAAGAGCTATATCATCCCAACTGGCATCTAAGAAGAGAGTTGCATTATATTATTTTCCCGTATTAAGATGAATACATAAAGAAATAGCCTATATGAGCATCGTAAGCAGTGTATATAGGCGTAATCCTATTCAAGTCTTTGGAATTCTACATAATGACAAGGATTATGCATTAGCAGCTTATGCCACTAAACGAGATATAAGGATAAAATGGGAAGAGGCCAGAATCATTAGACCTGCTGGGAACCCTAATACTATTAAGTTCCTAGAACTGTTAGTTTTTGGTTGGCTTTAAAAATTTCTATTTTGTATCAATCATAGGGATGCTGACACCTTGCCTACAGCATGGAAGTCCATTTATGAAATGTAACTTGGGACTTGGTCATCTTATAATTGTTTTTGTTTATATTAATCTCTATTTTTATCACTTTTACACCATTTTGTTTATTTGTATGTTTAATTTGTTAATTTTAATTTCTATGTGAGCACTATCGTTAGAATGCTTTTTAATTTTTAAATTATTTCTGTTGCATTTGATATGCTTGTGTGAGAGACTGGACCTGATAAATTCATTTTTCGTCTTTTAAAAATTTTTTCCCATTTTTATTACCAGAGAATGATCACATCTCTCTCTCCGGAGTTGTTTCCTTTTCCAGGGAACTCATTGAATGTGTCACTGGGAACTAAGAGCAAAAATTCCCAATTGGTGAAAAAGGATAACGTGATTTGGAGGTATAAAAAGACTGATTCAAGGACAAGGGGTCATTAAGAGTTCATGAGAGCATCAACGAGATGCCCTGAACAGAAAGAGAGGTATTGTCGTCATTCAGGCTATCAAGAATTTTGACCCTGTGTTTCGTTAGAACACTGTCAAACTGCCCGGATTATTATATCCTCCAGTTCTCCATCAGTTTGGCTGCCGTTCAAGCAAAAGAAAAATATAACGCCTTCCCAACCGCTCCAGCCAACTGAACCAAAAGAAGTTCCCAATGACTGACCAACCAAAGTTCATTGATCCGAAAGTCCGCACAATTAAGTGCATTACAGATATCTATACCAACTCACAGTTTCTTGTAAACTCTCTCTCTCTCTCGACCGTTATTCGATATATGAAGCTATGTATTCTTTTTAGTTGAATTAAATTGGTTATTTAGTTGTTAACCTGAGTGATTCACTTCCAAGCCGGCTCTCAATCCTCCTCCATCGCCCGCACACGTGACCATTTGTACAAATTCTGAATTTGTGGCCATTAAGGTTTCTGTGTCTATCCTAGAAGACTCAGTGGTGTCAGTCCTGATGAGTCACCAAAGAGGTGGCGACCCTCTGGTCACACTTGTTTGTGTGTTTTATTTAGTGAAGTACATGAATTTAAAATAAAACACACAAACAAGAGGAAGACCTATGATATTAGATCAAAAATGTTTTGATTTATTAAATTTACTGCTGAAGTTACAAAGTGCTCTGTTTATTCTATTTCTTATTCTCTGGTTAGATTTTATTTATTTATTATAAACATTGCAAGGAAAAAGTTCAGAAAGGAGTTTGGCCACTCTTCTGTCATCCAAGAACTAAAGAGAAATCTGAATCTTTTGCTTCTCTGTGCATTCATTTATAAACAATGTGTTTGCATTTTTTTCCAGCAAGAAAACCATCTATCAGTTTGTATAAATTTACTCTGTTCTATTATTTTAGAAAAAAGTCATTGGCTTCCTGATGAATGAGTGAACTGTTAACTAGTAGATCTTTCTCTCATACTGCCATAAATCATAACTTTAAAACTGTTTCTACCTCTCAATCTTTCCCACAATGATGCCTTGTAGTTTTGTTGTTCTCATTAGATTGTGCAAGTTTGTTTCAGTTCTTCAAAAGCAAGCACAATAAAGGCTGTAAATTTTCAAATGGACTGCAGCTTTTCTTTGGCTCATTTTTGAAAGATTATCATAATGTTCTAAAATCTTCAATTTATCCTTCAAATATAGACCATTATGTCTTCTGTTGTACACTTTATTCATGATACTGAACAGTAAAGACTGAAATAGATAAAGTACAGTGCAGAGACCTTGAGAATTGTTGAAAATAACTTACTTTCTATAAAATACAGTAGTACAGGATGAGTCTGGAGCTTCTTTTATAAGAACTACTGTAAATATACCCATCCTAAACACGTAAATGTACAGTAATCAGCTAACAGATGTGCAGCATGGTAGACTTGACAACATACAAACTGCTACTAGTCTATAGCTCCAGATTTTTCTGTCTTGTCCATTTCAGTAATCAACAGCATCTTCTATAAAGGGGAGAGCTGAAGCTGCTAACATAACACAAGTGTGTAGACAGGATACAGATTTCTGAAATAGCTTATGCTGGTATCATCAATATGTAGTTTGTTGTATACTAATCACATTAAATGATGAATTTTGCATAAAAAATATATGACTGTCTCAGGACTTTAAAAACTGATCACAATAAAAAACTAATAACAATAAATGTGATTTTAATAAATGACATCCACTGTATAATATATTAATTTTTTATATAAATTTCAGAACCACAATTTTTATACTTTTATAAAATTAGTTAATTAAAAATTTATAATATAGGACAATTAAAGGATTATATGTTATAAAGTTACTGTAAGCTATAAGTTTTTGGTTGATTATAAATTATAGTTGATTCGTTTTTTGAAACCGTGTCATTGCATATTTAATGGTATGTCTTAGATGTTAAATATTTTAGATTTGTTATACAGTTAATTTTACAAAATGTAATAATCTATTGTATATGTTTCTTCTTATCAGTTGACTAATGAGGGGCTATACGCCCAAAACGTGTAAAAGTACCCGTATCAACTGAATAAAGAGGAAAAATGCCAAGTGTTTTAATAATAACAGTCTTGTGTTCAATAGTTATAAATTATAGGTCTTTTTAAAAAATAATTTTCAAAAACTATCATATTAATTGCAACAAAAAAATAAAATCAAACCTTATAATAGCTTCAACCATGTAGCATTGAGTTTCAAGATCAACTTCCCATGGACTTGGAATAATTCCATGCACCATATGACTTTCTTCAGATTTTTCATGATACATTAAGTGGCATTCTTTGCAGTATTTTATTGGCTTATTGCCATTACTCCTAGCACATTCAACAGAAAAACATGTTGCAACTGCAGAATTATCAGTAGAACGGCAATTCTAAAATATATATACAGGTAATTATTACTTTTATAAATTTTTAATAAAAATAAATTTTAAAAATTTAAACATATACTTTGTTTTCACACACTGCTGAAATATTTTCTATTGGTAAAAGAACATCGAAAAGATTAGAAGAATGTTCTCGATAAATTTGATCTGCACAATCTTGGCAAACATGAAGAGGAGGAGCATGTTCTCCTGATCCAATAGCTATCACATGGTCAAAACATATCTGTAAAATGTTAATTTTATTTAAAAATATATAAAATTCTAAAATATTTTTTGACAAGACTGTTTTGTTTATAAAATTGTGATGCCGTTACAGGTGTAGACCTTAGAGGTATAAGGGGGATGGACATGTCAGGAGTTGCAATTTAGCACAGAATATTAGGTGCCCAAATCATGTGCTCATAAAAAAAAATCAGACTTGTAGGTATTCAGGAATCAAGAACTGAGTCAAAATAAAATACAAAATGGTGACATCTTTCTACAAACAGGCAAGAGTGCGAGATTTGTGCATGTGTATATCGCTGGGAAGTTCGAAATGCAAATGTTGCAAAATCGAATTTTGACAAACGAATCTTTGAAAAAACCCATTTACCTCTCTGGTTGCAACCTGCTGACCTTGACCAGTTGACCTGAGATATCTCATTTCAGCATCAGAACATTTTTGAAACTAGATGACGCTAGTTGTCATAATTTTATATTAAAAGTAAGTTCTGAAATATAATGTTTTTTTGTTTTTACATTTATTAATATATTTATTTTGTTTGTGCAAAATTAAAAAATAATTTTGGATTATACAATAGCCACGATTATTTTTTTCAAAAACAGAAACTTTTCATTAGACATTGACAAAAATTCAACCCGAGGTGACACACAACAAACAGAAATTTCAACATTTGATAGGTTAATTTCACCAAAAATGTTTCGTGGACAACCTCACGGTCATAGCCATGGCTGGTGAAGTTTGAACGATTGCATCGCGTTCTGAGTCTCTGAGACATAGTCTTGTCCCAAAAATCGGGCCATTTTACTTGTTATTTCTTTATTATTAAAATATATAAAATAAGTTAAATATTAAATTTAATAAGGTAAAACAAAATAATTCTATATATTAAAAAAATTTACAGAAAATATTTTCTAATTTGATCCATTTTAAATGAGATGTTAACCCAAAAAATTTTATATTTCATCTAACTAATAGTGACAATATGTAGCAAAAAACAGTTAACAAGAATGTATAACTCAAAAAGTACAATGAAGAAAAAAAAACAAGTAAGAAAAAACAAGCATGAAATTATTTTTTATATATTATAAATTTATGCATTTCCTTAATTACAAGTGAAAAAATAAAATAAAAGTTTGTGTCAAAGACTGAATAATTCTTCTATGCATTGTCTCATCTAAAACGTTTTATATTATTCTTAATAAATTCTCAAAAGGAAAGTATCTAGATTTAAATTCAATGTCATATCTGCAGAATAATACATAATCCTACTATTTCATTGCAAAAAAAACTATTATGGAATAGTAAAATTATTGTGTGTAAGGCTTTGCACTTCTTTTTGCTGTTCATGCTACATACTGTAACTGCTTATCACACAATGTCAAGAAATTCTCCATGATAATATTAAATTTAAAAATATTCGTATACATTTTGATGCAGAATTATTCTATAATATTTTGTTTTATATTGTTACATCTAATATATTACCTTGACTACTTCATTATTGACAGGACTTAAGCAATTTTCTTGTTGACATGTTAATGGTTTCCATCCTTGTGTTGCAAAAAATAATTATATTAATATAGATTTTTAAAAATTAAAATTATTAAGAATTTCATTTACCATGATGCTTAAAAGTCAAGCCCTTCCTTTCATGAATGCATTTATTTAAAGATGGCCAGTACTGAAACAATAGTTCAATAGCATGACTTCTTGCTTTAGCTGTGCCGTGCGCAATTACACAAAACATATCCTTAAAATAAAATATGATAAATATTATTATTATTGTAATTATTACTATTATTATTACACATACATTTTTGTTTATCGTTATTTATTTTATAAATTGAAAATTTAAACAGAACTAAGTTTTAATACTATTTTAATATTTGTTGTATTGAATTATTATACGAAGATAATCACAAAAGTAAGGTCTCCTATTTTTTTTAGAAATACAAAGAAATCTTAATTTTCAATAATGTTTACATCATTTTAAACCTTGAACATTTATCTATATTTTTACATAATTGGCATTTTGGTTGATGCATTTTTGTAGGTGCTGTGGCAGTTTTTGTATGCCTATGTCATACCAGCTCGCTGCTATGTCGTATTAAACTAATTGAAATTCATCACCAATTGATGGAAGTGTATGGAAAGTCGTGCATGGATGTCAAAAATGTCTGCAATTGGTATAGGAAGTTTGCAGCTGGTTGTACTGAAATTCATGACGAAGAAAGAAGTGGGAGACCACCAATTTCCGACAAGACAGTCGTGAAGGTTGAGCAAACCATGTATGAAAATCAGCAGATCACTCTGGATGATCTCTGAAACTTGGTTCCTGGGGTTTCCTGAAGCATCATTCATAGGATTTTAATGAAAAAGTTGCAATATTGGAAGGTGTGCACAAGATGGGTCCCTTGACATGGCAGAGAGCTGGTATGACATGGGCATACAAAAACTGCTACAGCACCTACAAAAATGCATCAACCAAAATGCCAATTATGTAAAAATATAGATAAATGTTCAAGCTTTAAAATGATGCAAACATTATTGAAAATTAACGTTTCTTTATATTTTTAAAAAATAGGAGACCTTACTTTTGGGATTACCTTCGTAATAAAATCAAAAGATTCTAAAATACAACTGGTAAGTGATCTAAGACTTTGCAGTTGAATTGAACAAATATAGCAATTTCAGATGATTTTTAATAAATTTCAACACGGAAATATATAATTTCTGTTTGTTTTTTATCTGCAGTGCAATCAAACATAGGACATTATTAAAAGTGATCTACTCTCTATTGATATGCATATTAAGTATCTACTAATTCAATTTAGATTTAATTAACCAAATAAGATTTTTCTATTTAGTAACATTTTTTAAATGTAAAATTTTTCAAATCATTAATATTATCAAAATATTCATATAATATATTAAAAAACTTAACCAAAGCTAAACAATCACTATAATGAACTGGGCTATTTTACTGCTACTATTTGGCAGATCATTTAATTTGAATTAACTATAAATTGGATTTATAAGTTTAGGGATGATGATGATGATATATATATATATATCATCATCATCATCATCATCCCTAAACTCATAAATCCAATTTATGATATATATATCAACAATATAAGTGTAAAACAATAACATATATTACAAAATTATTTGTTTCTGTTACCTTTTATTAAACTTTAATGTGAGATAAATCATTCATATTAAAATGTAACCACAATAATTACACATTTATTCTTTTTTTATTCTAGTTTTATTCTTAAAACTATTGTATGTATTATATGTCTAGTAAATTTTGTAAAAAATTATTATTAAATTCACTAAGGTGTAAAAAGAGGCTTAAAAGTGCATATATATATCTTTTATATTCATAATTTTTAATCCAAAATGGCCATGGCCATCTGTTTTATCTGTTTCCAGTAATCTAAGATAGCATCAGTTCATGTTATCTCAGATAATCAGGATTCTACTGTATATATATTATTTTATAAAGTTGACTTTTCACATTTATCTCCAATATGGCATTATAACAAAACAAACTAGACTAAATATATGTAGAAGTGATATATGTCTACTTATTTTCAATACAAAAGACTAAAATATTAATTTAGTATGTTTTGTTCTTTCTAAAATAATTAATAATAAAAAAGTTGCAAAATCATTTACCTTCATCACATCTTTTTTCATGCTCATTAAACATTCAAGTAATTGGTAGCGAAGTGCTTTAAAAAAATAAAATACAATAATTCCATGTATTCTGATTGTTTTTATTTGACTCTCTTCAAGATGCATTGATTCTTCTTGCAGATATGTGAGCTAGATATGAATAGTAAATTCATAATCATCCACAACTCATACTCAATATTGTAAAATTCCAAAAATATACAGAAACAGAAATTTCCTCTTGATATTTGCTTATTTCTTTCAGTGTGAGCAGCTTGTTTTGACTTTCTATATTTGGTACACACCACATTTCTGGTTAGAATGCTGGAGTGCAAACATATGAAAAGAAAGTTATAAACAAAAGAGAGAAAGAATATGCAATTATTTTTTTATGTATAAGAACCCCAAAAATAATTTCTAAGGAAGTTGATTTAAATCATTAGTGCATATGCAATATAAACTAAACTTTCCAATTTATAAAAAGTTTAAAGTAATTAAATTTTTATAATTAAATTATTTTTTCTAATAATGAAATGAAAACAAGAGACAAAACTATCAAAAAACATTTATCCACAAATATATGTAGATTTTCCTTAAGTGAAGAGTTATCTTGGAATTGAAAACTGTAGAGTGTATATATGTATATACATTCTGCATTTTGTTAAATATAAAATTTAAAAGTATATAGTTTTCATATAATAATAATAAGAGGATTCATTTTTATAATAATCCTTATAACAATAAATCCTAACAGATATTTAAATATATTACAAAAGTATTGAAATTCCAGAAAGTGTAATAATTATTAAAATTCAAAACATGTAAAACAACACTTGAATTTCAATAACTTTTCTTCATAAATGGATTAAATTGATGTACAAATATTTTTAATAAACACTTCTAATTTAAATATTTATGAGAATACATTAAATTAATTTAATTCTTATTTAAACCCTAAAGTTTCATATAATAAAAATTATAATTATATTTTTGTTATGCCAATTTAATTAATATGACAAATAATATACAATTGTTTAAGTTATAAAACACTCTTCTTTTTTGATGATAGCCATACTTTGTAAATACAGAAAATTTTTTAATAAACTGTTCAAATTCTTCAACAAAAAAACTAAAGGAATAACTAACAAACACACACAGTATACAGTTCTAGATTTAGAAATAATTTGACCAAAAACAAAAAAAAATATTGAATCACAAATATCTATCAGATTTTACCACATTAATTATATTTATAATAGTTTCAAATTATTTAAAGGAAAATTTCATAAAAATTACCTTTAAATCTCTATGAATAATTGGAGTCTGACAGTGATGTAAGCGTGAAACAGCTTCACATAAATCACAAAATATTTGCAATATTTCTTCTTCAAAAAACCCAATATGTAGCCTTTCATTCATAAGTTGCAAAACATGACCTAAATTTTAAAGCAAATAATCAAAAAAATTATGAAAATGTTATTGATGAATTTTTTAATTAAAATAAAAATAATATCTGTAAATATAAACCATTTTGATTTTTAACACAACAATAAACAAAATTATAGCTCCTCAATGCAAATGGTGAAAATATTAATTTTAATCCTATATATAAACAAGCAATTATTTATTGTGACATCATTACAAAGACAGGCTGCAATTTTTAATCATATTTCTAATTAATTTCATTTAAAAATATATGCTCTCGATTTTATTAGTATCTTGCCTTTGTACATCATACTTTTCCTGTTAACAACAAAGTCATACCAGTCATCTATCTAACTCTGTTCTGGGGAAAATTTTTGAATTGAAATAAAGTGCTTTCAGGTCCAAACCAAAAGTTAGTATAGTTAATCAGGACCTCCTGCCCATAAGCTTTCCATATCTGGTCTCCACTTTCATCTATATAACTGCATTCTTGAGATTAAGAAAGAACAAATCAACAATCAGATGCACTCCAATGGAAACTTATAGATCTGCAATTTGAACATTGCAGCCCAATAAATTTTAAAGTTGTTTATTCATAAAATNTGGCTTGACGCAGTTTGTAATAATTATTAAATCCAAAATATTTTAGTGCAAACGGCTTCCTTTTAGTCATAATGACTCTATTCCAACTACAGTATTAATTTTCTTGGTCCAACTTAATAATAATAAATTTGATGCGAAAAAATTTTTTTCTATTCTTAGTGTATGGAGAGATATTGTTGTAAATTATTGGTTGTTATAGCTTTTTGTAGATTTCTTTTTGAACTCTGGTTAGTTTTTTCTAGTTTGAATGATATTAGGTTGACAAATAAGCATCTTTTCAGAAAAGATTGAATCAAATTCGACAATACCAATGAGAATCTAAAATGTAAACAAATCATAAAAAATCATTATTTTCATAGTTTTTCAGTGCTATTTTCATTTATTTTTGTTATTTGACGCTATTTAGACGAATAAGCAAGTTTTCCGAAGCATAAAATTGAAGATTTCCCGCCAAAATAGAAACTTCCTGATAACATCGGAAATGACGTTCTAACATCATTTTATTTTATTTGATTCTTCAAAAAATCGTTATAATACTATGTATTAGACTTAGAATATTCGATATCTAAACCAGAAAGTGTTAGCTAGAAATAGACTTATTTATAGAACAACCCCCCATTTCTCACTTCAGGGAAAGTTATAAAACAGTTGGGTGCTAATGACTTTGTGAAAGGGAAAAGTTCTACACTTAGAAACTTCTAAAGAAGGTATTTGGCCTGTACCGTCCGCGGGCCGCATAAACATTGATAAGGAGCTGTATGTGGCCCGCGGGCCGCAGGTTGTGCACCCCTGATTAATATAAAAATTTAAAACTCTCAGAAAAAGTTTAAGTAAAAATTCAAACAAGACATGATGATAAAATAATCATATAAATTATGTTAAAACATATATTAATATAAATGTAAATTAAAATTTAACAGTTTAGCTTACCATGTGCTCCATATTGAACTAAAGGAACTGAATCCACTAACTGAACAACAGCATGATATAATCCTTTATAATCTAAACAAGGAAATAATGACGTTCGATAATGATCCTTTTCTGATGAACGAATAACAGTAAGTGGAATAGTAGGAACATCTTTAAGCACACTAAAATAAACAACTTTCAAATGTTATAAAAAGTCATGGACTCAATATCATTTATTATTTTCATCCAAAATTAAATTACCCAAGTAAAGTTTGTGAAAAATATTTCAATGTATTGGCTACATCTGTTCCTGAAGGTAAAGGAAGAATACTTTGTTGAATTCGAGTGTTATAATCCAGAAGATGGCGAACTTTGGCAGTAACTGAAAATATTTAAATTCATTAAAACTGAAAGAATAGATTATATTTTAATAGATCAAAATAAAAACAATGTAAGTTAAAAATCTTACAAATAATGAGAATAATATAATATAAACTTTCAATGTTAAAAATATGTGAGAAAAGCATATTAACATAATTAACATACATATTAAAAGAATACTAATTACAGTAGAGCGTCGATTTTCCGAAAGTCAATCATCCGAAAGAATTCCAGTCGGCAAATTTAAATTTTCGCCAGTGCTGTGGCGCTTCAATCTTTGGCTATGTCTTGGGCTACTCAAATATTTTACGTTTTTGATACTAAATTAACATCTGAAGTATAATTTTTTATTATTTTTATATTTTTCAATATATTTATTTTGTTTGTACAAAATAAAAAAATAATTTTTAACGATACAATAGTCTTTGTTAGGCTTAATATCAACGAAAATTCAACGCAAAGCAACACGCAACAGAGAAAAATTTCGACATCGGATACGTTAAACTATTTTTTCGTATGTAAATCAGTTATCCGGACAACCCCAGTCCCCAATTGATTCGGAAAATCGACGCTCTACTGTATTAATATAATTAATATGCTTTTTTCATAACATACAAAGAGAAGATAAAAACTATAAATTTAAAATTTTTCATTAACTAATTAATAAATTATAATTAATACTGTTTAAATTTCTACATTTGTAACACTTTTACATTTCATTATTGAAAACTCAATCACCAAAAGTATCCTTGTAGCAAAGCCACTAAAACACCACCATGGTTACCCATGACAAGACCCTCTCCAACATCTACATGGACACATGGGTAATTTCATCATCACTTACAGAAGAAGCCCTACTGTTTTTCAATGATCAAGAATGCTAATGACCAATCTGAGAGGAAATTTCTGCCAGTTATGTATACCATCCCAATCAGGATGCAGGGTCAACATCCTTGGGGGTAGGTAGGAGGAACAGCAAGATGCCTAAACACATGAATTAAGGAACATGAATACTCCATCAGGACAGGTCTTTTCATCACTGCCCTGGCTGCCTTCACCTATGACAATGATGTCCATATTGCTTTTGATCAGACATGTCTTTTGCACTATTCCTCTAACCCCGACCATTCTCAAATATTTGGAATACTAAGATTTATAAGACTTCTAGAAGAGGAACTGCCATCAATTATAAAGAGGTGAACTCTGTCTCATCTTCATGGAAGGCACTCTACAAACTTCCACAATTTTTCTATAATTTTTGTGTATTTTAATTTCCTTTACATCTTATCTTGCCTTCCATATCACGCAAGACTCCCCACATGACATTCATTTTTACTTTATTTCTTTTGTTTGTTTTAATTTAAATTTATATTCTATATTTTGTTCCTTTTAAGAAACCTGAAGATGACCATTTAATACAGTGGAAAACATTCGTTTTTATGTTTTTACATAAAAATTCTTCTTTGTGGCTGGTTTTTGATGTTTATCTTTATTATTGAAGATATTTAACTTTTTTAATATAGAACTATTATAAGAATATACAATAACATTGAAAAAATAACATTGAATGCATACTCAGGTTTAAGCAATTACAAAATGAATCTTTTTATGATTTTATCATTGATAAATTATGTATTAAAACTTTTTAATTCAGAAAAAAAGCAATTTTAATCAGGAAAAATTTTTAAACTAGGAAATTTAACACTTTAATCTAATTTAATATTCTAAAATAAGATAAAATATTAATATGTGTATGAATAATTTTGAATGTAAATGAATAAATATGTCTGCATGATTTATGAAACTATATGCTTTTTATTCATTGAAAATATTTTGTGAACAAGTGTCATATTTTCTAATTAGGTTTATAAGCCATAATTTTTGTGATAACTTATTCTTGAATTACAATTATGAAATATTTTTATCTCAGAAAAAAAAAGCATATAGATAATACAAGAAAAATGTTCTCTCTTCAAATGCAGAAAGCTCATGGCAGCATTTCTGATGTATTTTTATATTCATGACTGCAATTCTCATATGTTATTTATGATGTATTTCTAATTTCTCAATTATTTAGAATGAATGAATTGTACAAGGTAATTTAAATTAAAGTTGCCCTATTCTATGACTTTCTGTAGAGAGAACAAATGGACAAAACTTCATTAAATTTTGTTTTGCACATGTTTCAGATCACAAAGAAGAGATTAATGAAAAAAGTAGTTTCAAAAATTGCCATTAGAGGTGCTAATCATACAGGGTTCATGTCAGTTAGATTTACAAAAAACTTCATAGTCAGCTGTATTAACCATAGTTTTATTCAGTCAGACTTGCATAATTACTGACAATTTTAATAACAATTGTAATGACTGACAATAAGCATAAACAAACCACTGCTGCAAAGAAAGGAGACTTCTAAACACATGTCCTTGGGCTGTTATTCTCAATCAGAGGATGTGGTGTCCATGGTTAACAACTAGCAGCTAGTATCACAAGATAGCATTTAATTACAGCATTTAATTAAGCACATAACTGATTTGATGAAAGCTGTTGTATGTACTAATTTTAATTCTTATGTGCTACAATAAGAATTAAAATTAAAATTGTCAGTAAATAGTATCTATGGCTGAATAAAGCCAAATAATTGCTGAATTGTATCGTGCTATATTATTATTACTATTACTATTACTACTACTACTACTACTACTACAGACCAATTCTTTTCTTCCAGAACCTTCTAAATTAATTATTAAGATATTTAATTTAATTATAATTATTAAATTTTACAAGAGATGGTGCCTAAAGCCTGCCTCTAGTGCCAAATTACTTAGCATTTAATTAATAATAGTAGTAGTAATGTAGCCTAATATAATTCAGCAATCATTTGGGTTTAAATATAACTACAGGTATACCTCGCCTTACGTCGGTAATTGGTTCCAGGAAAACGACTTAAGTCGAAAAACGACGTAAGTCGAATTTACTTGTCTCCGAATCTACTTGTCACTAGAAAAAACCATAAATTACTATTCCCAGTTCTGCATTTTATTTATTAATGCATTTTTAATAATATATGGCTAATAAGAATCTATTTTAAGCTTACAAACAAATAAATTTTAGTTTTTAATATAGTA